TGGCTGAAATCTATCCTTGTAATTACTTTTGAGCTCTTTAGGGATTAGTGTGGCTAGTATGATTATTTTCATAATACTAGGACGGCTAACGCGCGTGATGTGCACGCCATAGCTAACCATATCCAGAGAGCTCTTCCGGTTTGGTCTTATGCCACAACTATAGACCTATAGTTGTTGGTAGCATTAATGAGGGAAAAAACGCAAACAACTATTTTTCAAGGGTATTATATATCTGCACACTATTCTTAATAGTTAAAAAAAGAGGCAATTAATGTTAATGAGGTCAAATAAGTAAATAAACATTTAAGAGGGTATAATTGTCCAAACATTATTCATAAGAGTTATCTCAAATTTATTATAAGGTAGGGATAGGGAAAATTGCCTTATGGACCATTTATCACATATGACTCTTTTAGTCTAGAAGAGGTCTATAGAGGCCCTCTCAGACAGCCAAAACTACACCTCTCCTAGAGATTATCAATCAGAAGTAGACTTAAATACTGTCTTAAGTTGTCGAGGCCTTCTCAGACAATCCAAACGCACCTTTTTTTAACACTACTGACCAGCAAGAGAGTTGAATATTGTCTTAAATTTGCTTATGTGATTAATCAGGAACGTGAAGATGAAAGGGAAGAAAACTGAATAAATGATAGTATTTAATGGGACACGTACACCTTTATTAGAAACTAATGGTCAGCAGCTCTCCAAGAGACTTAAAGATGCATATGTGATGAAACAGGTACGTGAAGGCTGAAGGGAAGGAACCTGAAAAAAGAGTAAAAATGCATATGTGGTGAACGACCTTTGCATTTTAAAAGTATTCTATTTTATGTATTAGCAAGGACCAGTATATACACAGGAGTGCTAAAAAAAATTAAAAAAAAATAGAGATACAGCTGGAATAACCAAAGGTAAGTGTTTTGAAGAAAACTGGAACCAAGGAAGCATATGTCAGTAATATATTAACATATGAATAGACTTGTGAATTTGAATTGTTTTCATATAGTACATTTCTGTTCTTTTTTCATATTGTACATTTCTGTACTTATTTTCATATACCCCGTACCAAATAAACTGCTTGTTCAGAAATTAATATTGAATTCTAGGTGTTAACATGGATACATTTTAATTAAGTCCATGTAAAAGATCATGTTGCGGCCTTAAGTCCTTGTATAGGTCTTCGTGTAAGCATTCACTTGCTCTTTGTATGTTATCTTGCTCGGTTTTGTTTATTCAACATTTCAACATGATTGAGTTGCAATCTGATAATATATTGTTGAATGGAAATATACCTCCAAAAAATTCATTACTTCCAATCTGCTCTTTAACATGTGAATCTTGGTGTTAATTAATGTTTCCCTTTTTACCCGCACTGTAAATAACGGTGGTGTAAATAATAAGTGCTGCAAATGCTAACAGGTAGTTTTATTAGCTGACTATCTGAGTGAGGGATAGCTCAAGTAAATAGAACTCCCCTCCCGATTCCAGGTGATCTTGGGATCGATACTCATCACCCGCCCTTGTGGCTCTCTAAACACCAAAAAAAAAAAGCTGACTATCTAATTATGTTATACTTATTATATGTCCTTGGAATTGAACTATGTAATTCTCTCATTATTTATTTCAGCTGCCATTCCTTTTGGGACTTCATTTCTTGGAGAAACTTGCCCCATCTTTTGCATCAGTTTTTGTTGGTCGAACTGGTAGTCAGCTCTTTCTTACTGATGGTAAACCAAATAGACCCCCACTTCTTCTGAAGATGGCAACAGATTGTGAAGACGGTAAATTTATGTAAGTTAAAATGCTGGAAGAATTCCATGCAACTGTTGTGATTTATTCTATACTTTTTATTTGGACATGAGATGACACATCATGATTGAAATGTTGAAATCAACTAGGTTTGACAACAAAAGCAACTAATGTGTCCTATTATTTTGAGGCTTTAACACCTTTATATTTACATGTTTAATTCAGGTACAATTATGATTCAAGTACTATTTTTTGGTTTAGAATTTAAAAAGAAGATAATAATATTGATGAGGACACTAATTAATTGTAACTGCTCCAATATGAGTCAATTCTTCCTTTTATAGGAGGGGTAAAAAGAACACCTGAGATTAATCTCAAAAAAAGATTAATGAAAAAAAATATATAATTCTTAAGTGTTATGTATATTGATTTTATTTTTTTGATATTGGGGAGACTATCAGCTACTTTATTTTTGTACGCGAGAAAATGGGAGTTAGAAAATTTCTTGAACAAGGTGATGAATTTGTCCTTAAATATTCTAATGCTTTTAATCCAAATATTTCCTTTTCAAGGGGAATTAATATGTCAATGAAAATTCCAATCAGGATCCTTCCAATTATGGTTAAATCTCAATATTTCTTGTGTACTTGGGCAAAATTTTACTTTGTAAATATTAAAAAATAATATAAAATAATGTTTGATCTTGCCTTTTGTCAAACTAGCAATATCTTTCTAACTTCCTTCATCTATCTTGCAGATCTGCCCTTGGTGCATTTAAATGTCGCATTCTATATGCAAATGTGTCTTTTGATCGTATCCTACTACAAGTATTTTATAAAATTATTAAACTGTGCTGTCTCTCTTTCTTTGATAAGGCAAATTTCCTTAACGTTTTCTAGATATGGTTGGCTGGCGCACATCTTCAGTTAGGAGAGAAGATGAACTTCCCAAGGTAATTTAATGTGTTTATTTCTGTTCTTTCTTGAACTTTTTTACTCTTACATATGATCTTGTCATGACTTGCAAACCTGGAAATCACTAAGTTTTTTATATAGCTACTAAACTTTGGCGTTTAGCCTGGAAGTTTGCAACTATTATGGTATATGTTTCGGGAACTTGGGTACAAGATTATGTTTCTTTTGTCGCTTTATTAGTCCCTGCAACATTTAATTCTGTGACTTTATGTTCTGTGCTTCTGTCTACTAGATTGTAATTGCCAGAGATCATTATATATCTATTGATTTTGTGAACAGGGATAGTATGTAAATGGAAGATAGTGTTTGAACCTTGGATAAAATGACAAAATGTTGACCAACCATATACAGCTAAAGATGGCTCTGGGCCATGTTGGGCCCACGTGCTTTGGGTTTAGTTAGGGCCGACCCATGGCTCGGCCCATGGTTTCATGCCGTGCCAAGCCGGGTCGAAATTTTTAAAAGGTTGGCCCGTGCACGGCCCAGGCCCACGTGCCATCATAGCAGTTGCCTTTGGCTGCTCATAGAAAATAATTATTTTTTTTTTAAATGGTTCTTTCCATTTGTTTACTTACAAGAGAGATGTACGCTCAACTTATTTTGGTCAGTGAGATGTGTAGATTGTATGTGTCCAATTAATTTTTCACTTAACATCTAGCTGCTTGCTTGTATTCATTGTCCTTTTCCCCTGGTTCAACTTCGGTGTACTGTTTTTACTTTTCCAGCCTCCTCAGCGATCTTTGGATGGCTACAAGCATGTTGTAGATGTTGAGTATTGCCCCCCAGTTTCGTCTGAGGGTCCCCAATTTGCTCCAGAAGTTGCCAAAGCAAAGGAGGCTGCACAGACTGAACCTAGCACTCAAAATACAGTTGAATACCATGAACTTGTGGAAGGTAAACCAGTGGCAATTATATTTGCTTGAAAGGGGTAACTTATATCATCTTTTATTAAATCAATTGTATTCATTGATGAAAATTTCGTATTGGATTATGCATTCATAGTTGTAAATGTTTGTGTACATTAATATGTATGAGTAGTCTGTTTGTCTCTGCAGAGGAAATGATACGTGGCTTACAGAGAGTGGGATGGAAGAAAGTTGATGTTAGCTTTCATTCCGCAGTGTGGCCCTTCTTTGCTCATAACAATATACATGTACAAGCATCAATTACTTCAATTTTGATCATGTATGTTTGGTGACCTCTTCCTGTTTCTGCTGTGTTACAATTTCCTATTGTTTTGTTCAGGTAAAAAACGAATGGTTTCACAATGCTGGTACTGGTGTTGTAAAACATGTTGCTGACAGCCTGAAGCAGCAAGAATCTTCATATCTCACGGCCAACTTATAGCACTGGGAATTGTAAGTACTCTAAATGCCCTTCAAAGCTGACTCAAGACCAATAATATAGTGGGAATATGGGATTTCTTACTTAAACCGCATGGATGCTAATTAGAAGTAGGTCCATGTAGACTTGCGTCCTTTTCTATAGTTTATTTCTTACCTTAAGTGTTTTGCATTTAGCTTGTTGGTTACTAGGCCTACTACATCTGTGTAAATTGCCGAGTTGCAAAGTGAGGTTCATGGTATTCTATGGATATTGTCTCCTTTTCTCTGGTTCTAATCACACCTCTTATCCCCAGAAGAAAGTTTGATAACATAACGAGTAATTTTGGTGCTACTCTTGCTCTAATCCGTGTTATTTGCATTTGTAATTTTGTGTGCTTAAGTCCCTGTTTGCATTCAACCATATGATGAAATTCACCGTTGGTATCACAAGCCGATTATGAGATAATATCTTTCCATAAGCCTGTGAATGTCTGGGTGTTAGGGAAATTTTAGCTCAGAACATGAGCTATCCAATTAACAATCACTCTCTGGCTCTTGCAGGTCAATGTATGCAGTAACACGTGAGCTACGGTGCTAGTTTTTTAACGTCTTTGAGCCTAAAATGTACCTATACGATTGTTGTTGACCCCCCTAATGTAAAATCCTCTGGGAAACATAGGAAGAATGCTTGGTTATGTCTTCCCCTCTCCCAATATATTCTTAGTGATCCACATTTTCCTTCGTCGTGGAATGCCTACTTGTCATACAATTATTTGATTGCCTTGATTAGGCAATTGTGAATTATGGATGTATATTGTTTATTACTGGTTGACATTTATGTAAAGGCTGCAATATTTTAGCTCAATTGGCAGCCGATTGCCATTATAATTACTTTCAACGCTAGGTGATACTACTAAGGTCGGTATAAGTTTACGACACACAACAAAATTATATAAATGAGACTTATTCTTTGATGTTTTCATATATTGAACAACATTACACCCTTCGGATAATCTGTACTACATCACTGAACATCCGCTAGGATTATCATCATTGAACATAATGAATGCATCATCGCCATTATCGACTAAAGGAAGAGGATCAGAAGTACGTTCATGGACGATGTTACCATTCTTGTGGTGTGAGGTAGGATTCGGCCGGTAAATGAAGGACCTGTGTTGTTCATAGAACTCATTAAAATCTTGAAATTGAGGATTATAAGGCATTTTCCATGGTTCAACTCTAAGTCCTGTTTTCATGATCGCTTTATGTATTTTCTTTTGTTCAGCCCACCCTGTTACGGTCACTTTTTGCATAGGTATGTCGATTTCAACATCGTTAACTCCTGAAATTTTCGAATGCTGTTAAAAAATATAAGGTATAAAGTTGTTATTTCCATTATTTTTGCCTTACTTCCCCTCATCACTTCCAAATGCGTGGCCCGCCAATAATGGACCTCACAATTGGATCAAAAAACCGTAAGGCTGAAGTTTGGTTTGAGTCTTCTCTTTACCTTAAAAATAGTAAAAAGTGATTGAAGGGATCATACCATCCAACTTAAGGAGAGCTTTCCTCACTTTGTTCTCGCATCCTGTGCAATCAATACCAACACGGAACTCCACAATCTGATGTAAAAGAGATAAAAGAACACACGTTTTACAAACTGAATTAAAAGAGCATGAAAGTCTAATCAAATACAAGCTCAAGTTCATGCTAAAACTAATAGGTGATAGATAAAAAAATTTCCTTAGTATATTAATCAAACGCCTTCTATTCTTCAATATGGGACTACTTCGTAATTAAACTTACTCTTGGGGTTATTTTTTAACAAATTGTTTACTAACACGCTGTGGAATATCATTTCTTGGTAACAAAAGTTATTATTTAAAGTCGGAAATATAGGGTATATGTTTGACCAAACTACTAAAACAAGCCTATTATACATATTGTTAGGGTTGTTCATCTTAAGTCCCACATAATAAAAAGAAGGAAGAACGAATAGGACTTCCTTATAAGTGGATGCATATTTCATTAGTATGAGGCTTTTAAGAAGAAAAAAATAGCGAAAGGTGACTTGAACTTACCGATGACATTTTTACACGCTGACCAAACTCAAGCACGAAGTATGATTTTTGAGAAGCAAGTTATTGAAGTAGAGCATATGAAAGCATATACTTCGTACTATATAAGCTTATATAGTATTAGCAAACAAATTGACACGCTAGAGTAAATTACATGCCATTTTCACACATTACTTCCTAGAACAAGAAAATGACGTAGTTAATAGCTAATATATAACACTCGTGAGTCAATAAAAGATCAAATATTAGTAGTTTGGATTATGCTTATTTCATTTAGATAAGTTCATAAGGAGTATCCCTGTCATTTATTTTTCATTTGGAAGCAAGTAGTATTAGTATCATGATTTATTTAACTTTATGTTTGTTTTCAAATAACAAGTTGAAGTTATAGTAGCCTTATTGGAAATTACATGGAAAAAGTGCTATAGACTATGAACAAGTTTAGTCAAGCAATTAAGCTAGAAAATCAAATTTGACCAAAGTTTAAATTAGTCATGTACATATCTCTGTCATAAGGAGTATCCCTGTCATTTATTTTTCATTTTTCATTTTATTATTCTTCTTAGAATTGACACGTTAATATAATCATTATTACCTTTACATATCTTTGTTATAAATTATAAAATGATTGATATTTTAAAGATATGTTATAACACAAATTAAATTCACCGTCATTTTAAATACAAAAAAGAACCAAATGGTCAAATTTACATATGTGAATATATACTACCTCCGTTACACGTTAAGTGCAACATTTTCCAAATAAGGAAGCTACACATTAATTGCAACAAAGTGAAAATTTCCTAATATAGTAAAATTTTGTCTGTCAAATTACAATTCTTCCCTTACTTAATTTTCTTAAAACACAATTAACACAAATTTACAGATTTGATTAGAACCCATTCCTAAGTTAATTTATCAAATGACTCCCACCAAAATCAAAACACAACCCTCCCAACTACCCACATTTAATTCAATCAATTCACATTAAATCAACTCCCACCTTCATCATTCATCTTCATTCATCTCATGAACCCAGAAACCCTCACCACAACCATACGCCCCTCTTTCTCTCTCTTCCATCCATCTCTCACTTCCATCAATCTCTCTCTTCCATTCGACTTTCCCCTGTTGATTTTCCGATCAGATCTGACCGGAAGCAATGCTTTTTCCTTTTTTTTTTCTTCTGAAATTTCGCTGATCTACTCGTTTGTGCACACTTGAGTCCCTAAAAATGGCTGATTTGACCCCTTTACATGATGCGTTTTTCGCTTGTGATGATGACGACGAACGTGATATTCTTGATGAGCTTATTGCGTATCTTGAGGATGATTTGCCTTGGCCTTTTCAATTTTACAGATCCGGTGAAGCTAGGGAGGCGTTGTCTGACCATTCTTTCGAGTGTTTGGGAAGGGTCCTTAATTCTATTCAGATGGAAAAAGGTGAAGATCCTGTGGTGGATTTGGAAGAGAACTACCATTCTAGGGTACCAATTGTCAACCGACAAGACCCACCTTTAAACCGCGAAGGTTAGATAGAGCTACAATTATGCGGAGGATAAGTGGGAAAGGGTGAAAATTTGTGATGTTGATGAAAAGGACAACGGGAAGAAGGGAGGTTCAGATGGAAAGGGAGGGGGAAAACACGGGGGAAAGGGGAAGGAGATGAAGAAAGGGGGAAAGGGTGGGGTAAAAGAAAAGGGAAAGGTTGTTGAAGAGGAGGAGTACTATGGTTTTACAATGAAAAATCCCCCAACCAAAATGATCTTCCCTTCTGAAGAAGCAAAAGATGGCAACAAAAGGATCAGATCTGGGATTGTGGTTGATGAGGACCAATTCGATCCATGTTACCTCGCTTTTCTGAAACATCTTGATCGGAAATTTCACCCTTCTCAGTGAATGGGCAGCGTATAATTTTCTTCACCCTAATTTAATTTCTGTTTCTGATTATATGAGTCCCTTTGTTGCTTGAAATCTATGCTAGCTCTGGTTGTTATATTCTTCAATACATGTTTTGCTTTATTGTTATTGATATTGCTACAATGAGATCATCTTGCTATGAGTCCCAATTGTGATGATTATGGATGTTGCTCCTATTTTGAATATGGTTGGCTATTCTGGTGATATTGTGAATATGGTTGTGGTTTTCTGGTTGATATTGTGGATATGGTTGGCTATTTTGGTTGATATTGTGAATATGGTTGGCTTTTTTATTTGATATTGTGTCTATGGTTGTGTTTTCTGTTTCACATTATGAATATGGTTGCCTTTTGTGGTTTTTGTTGTGAATATGGTTGGCTTTTCTGGTGATATTGTGGATATGGTTGTCTTTTCTGTTTCACATTGTGAATATGATTGTCTTTTGTGGTTTTTGTTGTGAATATGGTTGGCTTTTCTGGTGATATTGTGGATATGGTTGCCTTTTCTGTTTCACATTGTGAATATGGTTGCCTTTTGTGGTTCATGAATGTTGATGAATATGGAGATGGCTGATTGATGAATGATGAATGTTGCCTTGTATGCATGTGTTTCATTGAATTGGGGAGGTCATTGTAATGCATGTCAGTCCTATTTTGGTTGATTGATCTCAGTGATACTTAGTTGAGAGATCAGTTTATGTAGACTTCCAGATGATGAAGGGACTCAATTAACAGAATGGTTCATGTGTTTGATTTTGCTCCATTAAATTGTGTATCATTTGATGTTTGAGGTAACAAACCATGACTCATGTACTAAAAAAAAAATTTACCTTCTGATGGAAATGCTTTAAACAAAAAAGGCACACACACACATAGAATCAGATTAAACATCAAGAGTCCCTACTTGATTGCCTTACATGCCATTAGTTTAATTACACACAATAGATGGCATAACCACATAGCAAATTTTACTAAGGGGCCCTAGACTAATTACATTCATAAAATGTGGTTACATGTGGCAATCAACAAATGTTACAACTTGTAATTAACTTGATTATCTTCCATGCCTTTTCTTAGTTGTACATACAAAAGGGCATAAACACATAACCACATTATAAGGAGTCCCTATAACTATTACCTGCACAAAATGTGGTTCAAAATGGCAATCTGTATTGCTGCATTCAGTCTGCATCCACTTCATTCCTTCCTTCTTCATTTCCTGCTTCTTGTTCTGCATTTGTGTCATTTGGTCGATCTGATGGCCTGAACCTTTCACTAAGATAGTGGATTGCCTCCTCTAAAATATGCTTGTCCACTGCAACATTTCTGGGCAAAATTGGTGAAAAGTGGGGCGGGAAATCTTTTCCCCCAAAAACTTTTGGCAGACTTATTAAAAGCAAACCAAGGAATAATGGGACCCAATTTTCTCTCTCCTCAAACTAATCACATGCACTTATGTTATTTAATCACTCTTTCCATTTTTTTCTTGGGAAATGTGCACACCCCTTTGTTGCACTTAACGTGTGACGGAGGTAGTATGTTAAATTGTTAAGAGAAGGTGGTAATGCAATTATTGTAGTTAATAATAAATCAACCAAGGGTTTTTATAAAGATAATATCTAAATTAGGCTAGTTACATTTTTTTTTGAAGACAAATTAGGTTAATATCTTAATTAACCTAGCTTGCTAGACAATTATGGAATAAAACAATTAAGAAACAGATTGAGGGAGTAGAAAAGATAGGGGGCTCATTTGAGGGGGGGGGGGGAATAAGCGAAATCCCTCAAATAAGTCCCATGAGGCTTGATCCCTAGAGCTCAAGGATACGAGGTGGGAGCAATGCCACTACTCCAAAGCCCACACCTCAACCTAAGCTATGCGTAATTATTTGTTGAATGAATGCGTGAATGTTTATGGTTCAATTGTTTCTCTGTGTAAGAAAAGCGCAACTCTTATAATGAATGTCAATTCATTTTCTGTGCCATAAAGTTAACTTAATATTTGTTTAAATTTGTCCAAGTCTTGCTAGTCTCTTTGAAGCAGTTTAAGCTACAATCAACTAATGTAAAATCCATGTCTATGATTCAATGTCAAGCCATTATATAAACAGGAATTATCATGCACATTTCTCAGCAAACAACTTCATTCAATCTACAATAAAATACAGTAATTCAAACTATCTTTAAAGGCAATATCCTACTACCTCCGGTCCAATTTACTCGCAACAAAGGAATATTTTATGTCTCACAAATGATACCCCTTTGTTGCGAGTAAATTGGACCGGAGGAAGTATTAAGAATTCTGTAATCTCTATAAATAAGACTCATTTGCAGACATTAAACCCAAATAATTCATATTATTCAGTAGTCAAAAGCTTAAAATGGCAAAAACTATGCAGATCCTAACCCCACTATTTTTATCCATCTCAATACTAATCATCCTGATCCAAGTCACACCTGCTAAAGCAAAGTGTAACCAGACAGAATTCATAAACGAGGTCCTAGAAGGGCATAATGCTGCCAGACAAGCAGTGGGGGTGTCGCCTCTGAAGTGGGAAAATTTGCTTGCTAAATATGCCAAGATATACTCAAGGTAGAGGCGACAAGACTGTAAACTGATTTATTCTTTAGGTTCATTCGGGGAAAATCTATTATGGGGTTCAGGGAAACGGTGGATGGCAAAGGATGCAATCGCAACATGGGTGGCAGAGAAGCAATGGTATAACTACGATAACAACAACTGTAGCAGTGGATATGTCTGTGGGCACTACACCCAAGTTGTATGGAAGCAAACCAAAATGGCTGGATGCTCCAAGATAATATGTGACAGCGGGAATTCATTCATTACCTGCGAGCATGGGCGGACCCACGTGAGGACAAGTGGGACCATTGTCCCCCCACTTTCAAAAACAAAATCAGAATTTTTTTTTTTTTTTTTTTAAAAAAAGAAAGAAATCAATCAGCAAGTACATCACGTGGGCTAAAAGAAAGAAGAAAATAAAAAAATGGAGGAAAAAAAGGGAGGAAAGAGAAAAGTTTGAATATTGAAAAACCTAAGAGAGAGAAAGTAGATCTTGCATCACCAAGTGACCAAGGCACCGACCACCGAGGCAGCGACTACCGGAATTTCCGCCGCCACCGCGCCCCTACAGTCCAGCCCCGCTACTCCGACAGGCGGCAGCCCACACAGCAGGTTATTTTTTTTCTAATTTTTATCATAGATTATAAAAAAATTAAAGAATTGGTTTATGAGTAATTGTGTTTATGTAATCATATTTTTGAATTAATTTGTGATTTAGTTTATTTGTTATTAGTTTGTGAATTGAATTGTGATTTTGTGAATTATTTGGTGAATATGGTGAATGGAAGATTGAAACTTTGAAAGTAGACAAGTAGTTTGTGATTTTGTGAATTTAATTAATACTTCCTCTGTTTTTATTTACTTGCAACACTTCTCTTTTCACGCTTGTCGATGCATTATTTCAATCGTTTATATCTTTAATTATTAAATATGTAAAAATTGTAAATGTTAGATATTAAAATAATATAAACCGAGACGAATCTAACAAGATCCCACATGACTATATTTTTTCTTAGCTATAAATCGTCAAAGCTAGTCAAAGTAGAGTACATAAATAGTGTAAAAGTCAAACTGTTCCAAGTATAAGAAAACAAAGGAAGTATGTAAATTAGTTTGTAACTTTGTGTATTGAATTAGTTTGTGATTTGGTTTTTTAGATTTTGGATGCTTATTGTTAAAAAAAATGATTATTGAATATTGAAACTTAATTTTTAAATGAATTAGGATATGTCAAGTTCTTCAAGCAAGTTTAGGACAATGGGAAAACAAGTGGATCTTCGTCAAATGTTATTTAAAAATTTGAAATCACAATATAATTCTTGTTCTTCACCCACACAAAGTGAGACACCTCATAATCATTATATGCAAAATGAAAGCATTAGTATTGAACCAATTGATATGGATGAACCAATTGATGTGAATGATGTGGATGAACCAATTGACGTGAATGATGTCGATGACCAATTGATGTGAATGATGTGGATGGACCAATTGATGTGAATGATGTGAATGAAGAATTTGATGTGGATATAGAAATGGGAGATTCAAGTACTAGTAATGAATCGTTTGAGGTAGAGGAAGAGGAGGAAGAAGAGGAATTGGCTTATGATGTTGAACCTTCTTCCTCATGATCCGGGACTAAGAATGGACATAATGGACTATCCCCCAATTCAAAGAAATCCGGTGAGGAGAGCCTACATTCTTAAAAAACCTTGTCAACCAAAAAATCATAATTTCCCTCAAAGACAATGCTCCGAAAAACGTCGTTTTAGTGTGAAGTGGTTTAATAAAAGAAATTGGCTTGAATATAGTATTTCAAAATATGTCGCATTTTGTTTTGTATGTTACTTGTTCAAGCATGAAGTTGAAAATAATTATGACGGTGATGCATTTGTTAATGGAGGATTTAGAGCATGGAATAAACCGGAGAGGTTTGATAAGCATGTTGGTGGAGTGAATAGTGCTCATAATGTTGCTTATGAGAAGTATGTGAATCTAAGAGAGAGGGAAAAAAAATCAATTGTCAAAATATTTGACAATGCAAGTGAAGCACAAATTCAAAAATATCATATTCGTTTGAAAGCATGATTAACATGTTTGAGATTTCTTTTGGGGCAAGGTTTGGCATTTTGTGGGCATCTTGAAAGTGAGGAGTCATACAATCGGGGTAATTTCCTTGAACTTTTGAAATGGCTAAGGGGAAAAGTGGAGGAAGTTAAAAATCATACTCTAGAAAATGCTCCTAAAAATTATGTATTGACTTTTCCTAAGATTCAAAAAGACATTATAACTTGTTGTGCCAAAGAAACAACTAGGCGTATAATAGAAGAGGTTGGTGATGATTACTTTGCAATATTGGCGGATGATTCAAGTGATGTGTCCCAAAAAGAACAATTAGCTCTTGTTTTGCGTTTTGTTGATAGAAAAAGTGGAGCGGTAATGGAAAGATTTTTAGGCATTGTTCATGTTGGTGATACTATCGCTTCTTCTTTAAAAAATGCAATAATCTCTTTGCTTATGGAACACAACTCGATTCCATCAATGATTAGAGGTCAAGGATATGATGGGGCTAGTAACATGAAAGGTGAAATAAATGTGCTTAAGACTTTGATTATGAATGGCATTCCTAGAGCTTATTACATTCATTGTTTTGCACATCAACTTCAATTGACTCTTGTTGTCGTTGCTAAAAAAAATGATAATTGTGGTTGGGTGTTTGAAATTACTACAAACTTGTTGAATGTAATTGGGGCTTCTTGTAAAAGAAGAGAAATGATTTGAAAAAGTCAAGCTCAAAAGGTTGCTCAAGCATTAGAAATGAGGGAAATTGATAGTGGTTCGGGATTAAATCAAGAAGTTGGTTTGAAAAGATCTGGAGATACATGTTGGGGATCTTATTCCAAATGTGTTCTTAACATTATCTCCTTGTTTTCTGCAATTGTCGAGGTACTTATGCACATTGGCAAACATGGTTTATCGGAGAATAATTTCAAAGCTCAAACTGTGTTGGGTTCGTTAGAATCATTTGATTTTATTTTCATGGCTCACTTGATGTTGACTATTTTTGGATACACTAATGATTTGTGTATTGATTTGCAAAGAAAAGAACAAGATATTGTTAATGTCATTAGACTTGTTTCTTTCATGGCTCACTTGATGTTGACTATTTTTGGATACACTAATGATTTGTGCATTGATTTGCAAAGAAAAGAACAAGATATTGTTAATGTCATTAGACTTGTTTCTTCTACAACAAAAGTGTTATAAATAAGGGAACAAGGTTGGGATATTCTCTTTTAAAAAGTAACTCCATTTTGTAATAAACACAAAATTGATGTTCCTAATATAGAGGCTAATTATGTTCCACATGGAAGATCAAGACGTTTTGTTGAGAAAGCTACAAATGAACATCATTTTCGTGTTGGAATTATTTTATTGGAAGTGATTGATTTGCATCTTCAAGAACTTGATAATCGGTTTAATGAGAAGAACAAGGAGCTACTTACTTGCTTGGCTAACTTAAGTCCTATGGATAATTTTTCATCATTTGACAAAGAAAAGGTACAAAAGCTAACCTCTTATATAAAAGATACTTGTCTTATTGTTATTATATACTACCTCTGTTTCATATTATTTGCAACGATTAGACATTTTTTCTCTCTACTTTATGTCAAATCGTTGCAAATAATATGTAACGGAGGTAGTATTAATACTTGTTTTATTGTTATTATATTTTAATACTTGTCCTTTTTTTTTTACAAGGTGCTTAAACTTGCTTCTTTGTACCCCAAAGACTTTTCACATAATGAGTTGTTGAGTGTTGATGATCAACTTGAAGTGTTCAAGCAAGTCATGTTAGATGATGAAAATTTTCTAGATTTGCATGACATTAATTCTCTTTCAAAGATGCTTGTAAAAAACAAGTTGCATGAGACTTATCCTCTTATTCATTTGCTTATCAAGTTAATGTTGATTCTTCCTGTTACTACGGCAAGTGTTGAAAAAGTCTTTTCGGCAATGACATATATCAAAAATAAATTGAGAAATAGTATGGGTGATTAACTTATGAATTATTGTTTGGTTACTTTCATTGAGAAAGAAGTGTGTTTGCAAGTCCCCGATGAAGATATTATTGATCTATTTCAAAGAATGAAGACTCGGAGGATATTTTAGTAGTATGTAACCGAATTGTATTATTCAATGGATTTTGGGATTATAACTTTTTAGTATTAAACAAGTATGTACCAAAATTATTTGTATTGTGTACCCGTTTTTTTAAAACAGGTTGATGTTAGTTGAATTATCGAAATTGTCCCCCTTTTGTCAAGTTTCTAAGTCTGCCGCTGCGAAGATCCGCTTGTTTTCCCATAGTCCTAACTTGCTTATAGAACTTGGCATATCCTAATTCATTTAAAAATTAAGTTTCAATATTCAATAATTATTTTTTTTTAACAATAAGCATCCAAAATCTAAAAAAAAATTCACAAACTAATTCAATACACAAAGTTACAAACTAATTTACATATTAATTAAATTCACAAAATCACAAACTACTTGTCTACTTTCAAAATTTCAATCTTCCATTCACCATACTCACCAAATAATTCACAAAATCACAATTCAATTCACAAACTAATAACAAATAAACTAAATCACAAATTAATTCAAAAACATGATTACATAAACACAATTACTCATAAACTAATTCTTTAATTTTTTTTATAATCTAAGATAAAAATTAGAAGAAAAAAAAAACTTGCTGTGTGGGCTGCCGTATGCCGGAGCAGCGGGGCTGGACTGTAGGGGCGCAGTGGCGGTGGAAATTCCAACAGTCGCTGCCTCGGTGGGCGGTGCCTTGGTCACTTGGTGGTGCAAGATCTACTTTCTCTCTCTTAGGTTTTTCAATATTCAAACTTTTCTCTTTCCTCCCTTTTTTTCTTTTCTTCTTTCTCTTTAGCCCACGTGATGTACTTGCTGATTAATTTCTTTGTGTTTTTTTTTTAAAAAAAAAAATTCTCTGATTTTTTTTTTGAAAGTGGGGGGACAATGGTCCCCACTTGTCCTCACATGGCTCCGCCCATGCTCGCAGGTAATGAATGAATTCCCGCTGTCACATATTATTTTGGAGCATCCAACCATTTTGGTTTGCTTCCACACAACTTGGGTGTAGTGCCCACAGGCATATCCACTGCTACAACTGTTGTTATCGTAGTTATACCATTGCTTCTCTGCCACGCGACTGCATCCTTTGCCATCCACCGTTTCCCTGAACCCCAGAATAGATTTTCCCCAAATGGACCTAAAGAATGAATCAGTGTACAGTCGTGTCGCCTCTGCCTTTAGTATAGGTACATTTTAGGCTCAAAAGACGTTAAAAAACTAGCACCGTAGCTCACGTGTTACTGCATACATCGACCTGCAAGAGCAAGAGAGTGATAGTTACTTGGATAGCTCATGTTCTGAGCTAAAATTTCCCTAACACCCAGCCATTCACAGGCTTATGGAAAGATATTATCTCATAATTGGCTTGTGATACCAACGGTGAATTTCATCATATGGTTGAATGCAAACAGGGACTTAAGCACACACAAAATTACAAATGCACATAGCATCCCATTCAAGAAGGAAATCGCACAGATTAGAGCAAGAGTAGCACCAAATTAGTATATGTTCATTACTCGGTATGTTATCATACTTTCTTCTGAGGATAAGAGGTGTGATTAGAACCAGAGAAAAGGAGACAATATCCATAGAATACCATGAACCTCACTCTGCAACTCTACAATTTACACACATATAGTAGGCCTAGTAGCCAACAAGCTAAATGCAAAACACTTAAGGTAAGAAATACACTAAAGAAAAGGACACAAGTCTACATGGACCAACTTCTAATTAGCATCCATGCGGTTAGAAATCCCACATTCCCACTATATTATTGGTCTTGGGTCAGCTTTGAAGGGCATTTAGAGTACTTACAATTCCCAGTGCTATAAGTTGGCCGTGAGATATGAAGATTCTTGCTGCTTCAGGCTGTCAGCAACATGTTTTACAACACCAGTACCAGCATTGTGAAACCATTCGTTTTTTTTTTTATTTATTTATTTTTTTAATTTCAGGTTCCTTCCCTTCAGCCTTCACGTACCTGTTTCATCACATATGCATCTTTAAGTCTCTTGGAGAGCTGCTGAGCATTAATTTCTAATAAAGGTGTACGTGTACCATTAAATGCTGTCATTTTTTCAGTTTTCTTCCCTTTCATCTTCACGTTCCTGATTAATCACATACGCAAATTTAAGAAAATATTGAACTCTCTTGCTGGTCAGTAATGTTGAAAAAAGGTGAGTTTGGATTGTCTGAGAAGGCCTCCACAACTTAAGACAGTATTTAATTCTATTTCTGATTGATAATCTCTAGAAGAGGTGTAGTTTTGGCTGTCTGAGAGGGCCTCTATACAGTATACACCTCTTCTAGACTAAAAGAGTCATATGTGATAAACGGTCCATAAGGCAAATTCCCCTATCTCTACCTTATAAAAATTTGAGATAACTCTTATGAATAGTATTTTGACAATTATACCCTCAAAAATGTTTATTTACTTATTTGACCTCATTAATGTAAATTGCCTCTTTTTTGAACTATTAAGAATAGTGTGTGTGCGCGCGCGCGTTAGCCGCCCTAGTATTATGAAAATTGTCATACTAGCCACACTAATCCCTAAAGAGCACAAAAGTAATTACTAGGATAGATTTCAGCTATGCAATTAACATAATCTCAAACACACACATCATGTATCCTCTGCCCCCTATTCATGGAAATGTACCAAAGCAATCGAAGCCTTCCATTAAAGTATGGAAAACATCTCTGCCATTGCAGACATGAGATTTGCACTTTGCTCCCTAACCCCTTACAATAAAAAAATGTCAAGCAATTTATAACAATATGATAGTGTATCAAAGACTCTTTTATGCAGTTAACATTTGTTTTCTAATTCAATATCTATGACAATTGACCAAGGCAAGCAATGTCCCTATAGCATAAGCAACTTTCTTAATGATATGCTTGACACACATTCAGCCTTCACATGAAATTGAATCTATGCAGTAAAACAAACTACAGCATAAGCTGCTAAGGAACTATCGAAAACATGAACATATGATACAGAACAGAAATACAAAATTGGCTAGCTTTCAAGAGGACTGACCTGATTCCTCCCTCTTACTCCAAGATGTGGACTAGCTAGTGTAATAAAATTTATAGGTTCCAATCCAGCAATTAAACCATGCTTTGTTGAGCGGCCTGCTATTGAAGCATCATTTAGATCTCCATCAGCCAAGTTATTTGGTGTGTAAAGGACAGCTACCGCATATCGAGCAAACAAGCCACCAAGAGAATGGGCTAAAAAGGAAATTTTCTTTAGACACTCTGTTAAGCATAATGAACTAGTTTCAAGGAAAATACTTATGAAAAACTATAAACATAGCAAGAGATGTATTCAAAGCTCACCTCCTCAGCCAAACGTTTCCCAGCCCCATCAATACCGCCAAAGGTTTTAGTGAAGGTATTTGATGAACTTGCTGAAGATATTAGAAAGAGAAAGAGCAGTTTAAGCATTCGAACTAAGAATAATAAATAATAACAAATGGACTCCAAAAAACAAACTATTTGACCACAGCACCTATAAAAAATTATCGGGGATTTGTTTAAATGAAAATGTTAAAATCGAAGATTGCTCCATAAAATAATGTAAAATAAAATCAGAGAACAAGTTTGACAAAGGATGACAACACTGAAGCGACTAGGGTATTACAGACGCATAAAGCATGTTTTTTTAACAGCAAACGACTACTTAATATTCTTTGACAAACTGAAGTGGCACATCACATTCTAATTAAAGAAATTCTCTTCATATTTGCATCCTAGCAGATCCTTCTAGTACTTTGTAAATCCCAACATAGAAATTATACAATCACAAGGACAAGCAATGCAGTAGGGTACATCAAACATAATATTTGTGCTATGCCTAATTAAAATTGTACCTCCAATACACCTAGCCAAGATGCACTTATAGCAATTATCCCAAAACTAGAAGAGAGTAAAGATTTAAGAGACTCTTCACCGTTCACAATAAAGTACATTTCAACCAAAAAAAAAAAAAAATAATAATAAAGTGGCATGCTAGGTAAGAGAAGAAGATAAACACACCATAAATCAAGAAATTTCTTCCCAATTGCTTCTTCAATTCCGCTTCAAAATATGTCCAATCACTTGGGCTGCTCTAAGAACAAAAGTAGAACGTCATCCTAAGAGGTTGGTAGCTAAGCTAAAATTTTATCATGAATCATACTTCCTCCGTTTTTTTATTATTGCACCATATGGGTTGGGTATAAATATTTTGGTAGTGGAAAAAAGTAAGAGAGAGAAAGGTAAAAATACAAAATTGCCCATGTGATATATTGATAAACTAAAAAGTAAGTATGAAAATGCAAGGATATGTTGGGTATTTGTAGTGTGAACACAAATAATTTTTTTCCAAAAGAGGAAATGGTGCAATATTTGTGAAACTTCCTAAAAAGGCAAGTGGTGCAATAATAAAAGAACGGAGGAAGTATAAACAAAAATTCCCACTATATAACAAATTTGTAGTTCGAAGAAACTAGATTAAGGAACAGATTCACATTCTTGATTGCTAAGCCGCACCACAAGGATAGAAGTACAACATTATCTAAGCATGAACTTCTTGATCATTAAGACGGTAGAATCAGAGTCAAGCATACGTGTATGTCATACCTAATGAATGTAAGAATCATAGAAAAATTATCTATTTGCATAGAAACCTTTTTTTTTTTAAGAATATTTTCATGGAAACCTAAAAACTAGCAAATTGTCACATTATTGAGACTTAAGGACAGATGCTCAAAGTTATTTAAAAAAATAAAAATTAAAATTAAAAAAAAAAAGTCAAAATCGCAAAGTTTAAACCTCCTTAAATATTTAAAAGATTCCAATAACATATACCTAGCCATGATGCCATGAACAAGTACAAGAAGATGATCAGGCCCGCGTTCTCCATTGACGACTGAAGACGGTTTATTTCCAGCTGTAGTACTCATTGCATGAGACTTAAACCTTTGATTTTGCCAGCTATCATTCACCCTGAAAACATAATCTTGATCAATAAGCCAAAGCTTTGAAAGACCAAGGAGACAAAGAGGATAAGGTTTATTACACTTAATTTCAACTTCATGATTTTCTAAGATGAGCAATTCCAGCATTTAGATACAGATCAAAACATGCAAAATTGATCCTTCAAGATATTTCAATATTGTAATAGCTATCATCAAGACAGTAAAATTTTAAATTATGCTCTTCATATCTCCTTATAGCAAAATAAATGATAGAATCATCAACAAAACAACTGTGTTGAGTTGATTTAACAATAATCTCTGAGCTTCCATTACAGATTTACAGACATCAGTATTATCATCAATAGCTGCTATTCTCTCTTAATAGGAGTGCAGATTCATTACAAAAAATAGTAAAACCAATATCAACGTCCCAAGTTTAAAAATATAAAGACTAGAGCTAAAGAACCCGAAGAACATCAAGCTTCAAGGATCTAACTGGATCAAAAATACATGCTTTATATGCTTGACTGGATCAAAATATGCTTTATCTTCCCCTTTTTACTCAGTGGAAATGCATCACTCCTGAAAAAATCTTTCATAGCAAGATAGTAACACTTAAAAATATGACGCTTCCCCCTCATACATGAGATAAAATCCACTACAAAATAGTAATCCGATACTCAACAAAGGCTAGATTTCTAATTTGGTAGAGAATCACAAAAGGAAAATGATGTTAGTGGAATTCAACCTAGGTCTTGAAAACCACATCCCTAGACTTTAAATCAGGACATTGGTAGTTGACGAAGAGATATGATGTATTCAGGCATAACAGCAGTAAGCAGTTGCAAAGAGTCATACGCCAAGAAACATGAACGTATTGTACAGAAAAAAAATTGACAATCTTAATTTGTTTATAAATTGGATATGAAAGCTTAATTTGTCAGAAAACTTCCCCTACACCATATGTCCATAGACACAATCTTATAGTTGCTATACAATTTACCCCAAAAATGACCTAGTAACAGTATTAAGAAAATTTCACCTTAGTGCCTGATTGAATCTAAACAACTCGTTTTAGACAAGACCAGATTTAAACACATACAAGCCTAGCAAGGCATTGTAATGGCCCTTCTCGATTTCCTCCTCTTTCACCTGATGCAACAAGAGTGACTCAATGATAAAATCTTCCCAATCAATAGTATCATGACCTTTCTTCCTCTTCTTTCGGCTACTAACATTTTCTACAGTGCTTATATCATCACTACTACATGATTGAGCATCCAACCCATTATGCAGGAAAGCATTACTGGATGTAACAATCGGGGGATTGATAATGCTATTGATGCGCCTCTTAGCCTCTCTTATCTTTTCCCGCCTCTTTTTTACTGCATTACAACCACGAATATAAGACGGTGGAAGCACATCCAATCCAACATCTTTCTTCAACAACTGCTCCATCAAAAGCTTTTCACACATATCTGACCTCCCACTCCACCACTCATCAAAAAGTTCAACATCTAATCCACCTAGTCTATCTCCATAGTCAACTGTATCATTCTTATTCGTTAAATTACGATTCAAAAACTCAGCCTTGAACTTTGAGTAAACTTTAGCCAATTCTCCATGTGAAACCTTCAAATTCTCCAATCCTTCTGTTCCATTTAAACATCTCAAGCCATTATCAACAGCACTATCACCACCATCAATCCCTTTATACTCAACTTCCTTACTCAAACACTCCTCAACTACATCACCCAAATCAAACCCCGGACTCCCATCTGAAAACTTTGATTTCTCTCTACCTCGATCCTCCATCGACTTCATCTCCATATACTTCAATACAAAAGGAGCATTCTTCACAATATTCTTAACATTCACATCACTCCCCCAAGGCAAATTTTGTGCAACCTCCACCATTGCTTCCAAAAGCTCCTTATACCTCAACTTACAAGTCCTAATCGCCACATTCATCTCCTTCGCCACATCCTCAATCCGAACCTCAACCCCATTCACCGCCCCCACAAAAACCAACACCGCCACAGCAACAGGCCCCGGCCTCCGGCCCGTACTCAAAAACCACTTAATAGCACATTGTATCACAAAAATCCCCTGTTTCACCATCAAATCAATCTTCTCCTCCTCAACCCCACTAAAGCCAGAAAACCCTTTAATCATCTTCTCCAACAAACCAACCAAATCAAATTCCTTCAACTCTAACCCTAAAAAACCAACTACCCTGTTCACCATTTTCCCCATTTCATACAATTCACAACCCACAGCCCCAATAACCTCAGAAATTGGCAATGCTTTATTATCCTGACGCATAACAATATAACAACAAGCACCAACAAGAACAGAAAACCAATTACCTAATCCAAATTCACCATCAGTTACCTTATTAATCATGGATTTGACTTCCCGGGTTCGGATATCGCCGAAGCTGAGACGAAATGTGATGTCCTCAATCATCTGATTTGATTCATAGAGCTTTCTTTCCTTGTAAGAGTAATCGGTACCGGTACCGGAAGTTCCAACACGAACAAAGGTGCCTTGAGGGCCGGAAACACCGCCGAATGTATGCTGGTAATCGTCAAAATCTTGGACAATACCGCAAGATGAGCATACTGTGCCTCCGGTGACAGAATCGGTAACGAGTGCCTTGGATTTGCAGCTTCGGCAAGCTGCCATTGATGGAGAATTGAGGTGAGACGTGAGAGAGTGTCTTTTAGGGGTTTTTTTATTTACGCTGAATTTGAGAATTTATAGGTTTTGAGTTTCTAACACTTATGAATAAAACGATGTCGCTTTATAACCCACCCGAAAAGTCATCTTGCGGAAGAGGGGGGGATCATATCTATATCTATCTATATCTATATCTATATCTATACTCTATACTTATTATTTAAAAACACAAACCATCATTCTCATAATGCCACATGTAAATATATTTTTCACCAATGTCACATGTCATCTCATTTAACCTTTCTCGTATTTAAAAAATACACTAGCTTTAATTCAATATATGAATGAATGTTTGGTTCACTTTCCCCCGACTTATTATCTTCTACAATTACATTTAATTTTAACTCGTTTTTCTCCTTTATAAACTATTCATTTTTCAATAAAAAACCTATTATAAAATAAAAATATTATATTATATTTATAAACAATCCGTGCATTGTACGGGCCAAAAGGCTAGTTTTTTTAAACAAAACAATTACTTTTTTTTGGACCACTTAAAGTGTGATATGTGGAATTAGAAGAAAAAAAAAAAAAAGGAGTTAGCATTTCCAATGGTCATTTGGGACCTTTAAAAGTAAATGTGTATGAAAGTTAGGATCTTTCAGGAATAACGCAGACTGCGGAGTTGAGACTTTTAAAAATAAATCGTCTAAATTTGGGATTTTTAAATCTAATTTTCACTATTTATATTTCGTATAGGAGTAAAATACTTAGAAGTATACATATACTTAGGGCATGTTCACTTCAGCTTAATTTCAGTCCAAACCAGTTCAGCTCTAATCAGTTCAGTTCAGCTCAGCTCTTAGTTTCCTTCTCTCATAAAATATTCATTTTAGCTCAATTCAGTTCAGTTCAGTTCAGTTCAGCTCCAATCAGTTCAGTTTAGTTCATTTCAGTAAATGTAAACAGACCCTTAAACTCTAAATTTTTAATCTTAATAAGTAAATCCAATTTAATTAATTTTTATTAAATTATTATGTAATTATATATTATCTTAAACTCTAACTTTTTAACCTTAATAAGTAAATCCAATTTAATTTACTTTTAATTTATTTTTAACCTTAAACGTAACTGGTTTTTTTCTCTCTAAATTTAGAGTTCTTCTCTCACGATCAGTGAGTTCTAGGTTCCTCTTTTTCTTCAACAAATTAAGTTTCAGTTTACAAGATCCTTCCCCATTAATTCACCTTATCTTTTGTTCATTAAAGGGGTTTGATTTCCTCCTTCTTCGTACAAGCTTTCTCACAATAGTTATCATTCCCTATTCTTACTTCCTTTGTGACGGCGAAGCGGCAAGTAAGCAAGTGTCCTATTCTACTTAGTCCTTCACCGAACTTGTGCGATATCCTTTTTACTAGGATAGCGAGTAGTAAGTGGTCTTTGTTTTTTTTTTTTTTCTTTAAGAAGTATTAGCCAAACACAAACTTCGTTCTTCTTGGTACTTAGACGCAAGTTTATGTACTTTCTCTAAGCACAACACCGACTCACCCTAAAATAGAGTACTTTCATCAAAGCTCCCCTTTACTATAGTATGGATTACGACTGTAATAGCTGGGCGTAATTTAAACTTGGCTTATTTTGGGAAACAGTCCTGCCCCTGGTAGGCTCGATGAGCATATTATTTGGGACTGCTCTACTATTGGTTGTTTCTTTGGTTCCTCCCCCCATCGTTATCTGTAGTACAAGATCTTGTTAATCATAGGTGGGTCAAACGAGGACCAATCAAGGTGAAAAAGATTGGTAAGTATTTGTAGACATCTACTTTTGGTCTCTTGTCCCGACAGGAAGTGTTATGACGATAAACCATCTTCGTGTTGGATCAACGTGAAGAATACTTGTGGATACTAATTGAATCCCAAGAACACAAAAATGACTACACTAACCACAAAACAAATGAAATAAGGTCCAATTAACTAAGCCTGATCGTAATTAGGCTTAAGCTCGAGGTTAAAACCTAATTATGGCGGATTTAGAAGTGCCTAGTTTAAAATCAATGTTGCCGCAGAGAAATCCGCGTGCATCTCAATGAGTCTCGCTGGTCTGGCGCACACAACTTATTCAGTTTCGCGCAACACTCAGCGCAACTGTTAGTGATGCGCTTGCGAAAGATTCAGAATTTCATAAAAAGTATAAAATCGAATCTTGCCATAATACCGCGCGCAAGATCATCAGTTGCGCTGCGCATAGCATAGCATTTCAATCACTTGTGCTGGCTGTCGCGCGCAACCCATTCAGATGCGCGCGACACCTACTGCGGCAGAATGCTCAAAACCCTAAATGCACCCATTTCCTATAAATAGAGACTTAATACGAGGCTCAAACAGACAAAAATTAACCTAAAACTGTGGCAGAAACTTTGTGAGCTTGTTTGCTACCAAACCCTCTTGTCCTAAACACTCACCCCTTTTAATACTTGTTATTACGGTGGAGGTTCCTGAACAAGAAGGAGTCCATAAACGTTCTAAACGAAGATATAGCAAAGAGAAGTGGTATCCCGAGCACTTAGATCAAACACCATTATTTTCTTGTTTAAAATAACATTAATTAATTAATTAGTGTTTCTTGATCACATTAAATGAACCTTTTAATTAATTAATTCGACATAGTATCTTGCGTTAAATAAAGTATAGAATTGAAATGGTTGATTGATCACTTAAGCCAAGACGAATCTTGTTTATTTTTTGTCCTTTTCACGAATATTGATTAAATAAGAATAACTACTTTTGCAATGTAATTCCTATGTGATTGACGCGTGTAAATAAAATCAACTAACTTAGTTTTTAGGTATCACGTTGCATGAATTGTTTGGTGACGAAATTGTGATAAAGGAAGAGCTAGTAGAGGTCGTACTAGGGAACGTTATCTTGGTACCCTCGCTTCCGAACTCATCTGGTTCATGTAGACCAATTTGGGCATGGGTAAACTTATTCGTGATAAATATCCCTTGAACTCTACTTGGGAGAAAGGCATGAACGAGGTTTATGAGTTTCCTAAAACTCATTGGCGATTCCTACTTGTTTCTTACAAAAAAGCATGATGATAGGATCAATTCTAGCTCAAGGTCCCCTAAACTGTCAGGAATTCAAATCTTAATACACCATAAGAAGTGTAAAGTCCTAGGCTTTTAAAGGGCCATGGGCATTTAAGGAGAAAGATCCCCCATGATGGGAACACCCTCCTTACAGTATTATGTTGTCCTCTTCTCTGATGACAAGGATGTTCTCGCTATACTTCAGCAACATACTGCAATCATGGAGGGGAGGGTTATTACTTTTCGTAAGGGATATATGGGTCTAGTACTTGATGATATCAATTTCAACATGGCCAAGCTTTGGGTACATGTATAAGGTCTTCCTCTAAGCCATCTCCACCATGAATAGGGGGTGGAAGCTCTTCGCTATGTAGGATCTATTCAATCGATGGATTGCCAAAATGATGATGTTCCTTTAGAGCCGGATCTTTCTCCCTGGTTATTTTCTTCCTACCTCAACGAGTAATACCGTTTGGGTTAATTTTAGGTATGAAGGAAATTTTAAATTCTGCAAAATATGTGGAGGGGCGGGTCATTGTACTTGTCATTGTTTTTACACTACTTATGATGCAAAGAAAAAAAATATTAGCGTGTTATAAGAGGTTTGACTTGGAAGGTTACACTGTTTTATATGGCCCCCCTTCCCAACCTTTTTAGTCTAATATGATCGAAGGCTTACCTGATCAATTTCATCATCGTAGCACAAGGGTGAACCTGCTAGTTTACGATTATGATCCGCCTACTTCTATTGCTTACTCTGGCTTTGCTCATAATGGAGATGACACTAATGACAATCAGTGGTTCATGAAGTCGCCAGTACGCTGCATCGTACAACCGTTTTGCATGAAAGAACGTAATATAGAAAAGTGAAGAACATATAACTATAATGAAAAGAACATACTATTAAAATGTAATGAACATATACCCTTCAGTGAAAAGAAAATATTTACACCAAAAAAGAGTGAAAAGAACATATGGTCATGTTATTTGATTATCTGTATAATGTGCTTTTATTTGTGACATAATACTCATTGCTTATTGTTAATGTTCTTTGAATTTTGTCTCCAAATTATGGTGGGTATATATAAATAATGTTCATTACATAATATTATCATGTTCTTTATTAATATTATAGATGTTCTTTAGATTAAAAAAAAACATAAAACTGGATGTTATTTACAAGACAACTATATGTTCTTTACAAAACAGTTGTATGTTCTTTACAAAACAGTTACATGTTCATTCCGCGTTTTTTGTCTGTACCAAGCATGGTACAGTCGCCTGTACCTTATGTTGCTTACTTTGTCTTTGCTCATAATGGAGATGACACTAATGATGCCTAAGGTTGTAGTAGGGGTGATGATAATACCGATGGAAAAATTAATAAGGATCTTTATGAGGATGGGGGTAATTTTAACTGCGACATTGCAGACGACTTCTACCATACATCAGATCACCATTCTGGTGATTATGATTATGATATTCCCGTGAGTGAAGAGGTCACTGACTCGGGTTTCTTGTGTGAAACTAATCCTCTTTCTCACGGTTTGATTACAGAAATAAATCCACCAAGTTTTGATTCGGGAAACTCCTATGTTTTCGAGCAAGGGGACTACTTAATTCCTAAGGTTGCTACAACACTTTCAACTTCCTTTAGTCTTACAAAGGATAATTAAGAGCCAAACACTATGCTCAATTCAGTGCCACAAATTATACCTGATCTTTTCTCACCCGAGTAAAATCCTATGCAAAGGTTTGTGTGTCATAATGTCTATATTCCACGGTTGGTCTGACGGAAAAAACCAAACTTTGGGGAGTCAATTGGAAGGTTTTGACTTATGATTTAGACTAGAGCCAGACAGCTTAGTCACCACAAATATTCCCCTTGCTCATTCGTACCTTAATCATGTTGAGGAGGCCTTAACTACAGTTGCCTTAAACGTGACATATTGGAAGAAAAG